CTGGACTACCACCCTGCTTGAAGGACTACGAGCTGGTCCAGTAAGCAGAGTTGATTCCGTCCTTCATCACCTCCTTCATTAGGTCTTCTGAGCACGGGTCTCTCTCGATTTCCTCTCTGACCCGACGATACCACGAGCGTCTTACCATTGCCAGTGACTCCCTCAAAAAACATCATTTTGCTGTTCTTATAGTAGGTTTTCTGTGAGAGATTGCACGTTCGATAATTCTATACAAGACACGGTCATTTCATTTTTGGAGGAGTGGTTTTTGCGTAAAAACTTTGAGCTAGAGAAAACGACGTAGGGATGCGTGTCTCAACTCAAGCAAGTCAACAACCTTCTACATTTTTTCACCCAACACAGCCTGTTGAGACAGGAAATAAAGTGGGATTTCTGCATACGACCGACGAGCAGAAGTACAGCTTTAATTGTCCTTTCTTTACAAACACTGGCCTTCCTACCTTCTCCTGGTTTGTTTCCGATTCAATCTTCTTTTCTATATCGTTTAATTGCCTTCTTATTATTAAAACCCCAAAAAATTTCATAATGCCCTCTACCACAATGATTGCAAGTGGCATTGAATAAGCCTCCTCCATCTGTAACATATTGGGAGTTTCCCTTCAGTAACCATGTATTTTGCAAGAACCTTCCATGCAACTCATTAATAGCGGGTGAAGGGAATATGATAAATTTAAAAAGTTTCTGAATTTTGGCGCCATAAATTGGGACACCGTGTATAAGGGAGGCAGCACAAGAAGTCTTCAAGAAGCCTATTGACAGTTGCCTGTGGCGGCAAGGGATTTCACATCCGCTTGAGCGCTGAAACCCTTGTGAGTTAAGATTCGAATTGTGGATTTGAATTTGTCGCCATATTCGCCAAAGGGGATGATGCACTTCTTGAATACTGTTAATCATCCCGGGTTGCTTTAGACCTCTGAAGAAGGCGATATCGTCGGAACTCTGGGCCGTTGAATTAATAGATTGTTCCACCGAACAGCCTCGCACAGCACAAGAATATTTTCAATCATAAACAGCTATGCTGAGGTTAAAGCAAGGGGGAAGTTGGAGACTACACTTCCTAATAATTTATTACAACTAGACTCCACAGCAATTTGTCTTCCTCTTCAAAGTCGCTTCAAGAAGTAGAAAAGCACATGAGGCTCTCCACGACGATACTGTAAGAATTTGCTTCGAAGCGCCAGCGACCTTCGTCGGTACATTGAATGTCGACTACTTGATCGCCTACTTTCCTAAAGCCACCAATGCGGTGGTTGAACTGAAATCAATCACTGAAGTGGGAAATTGAATTGCTAATTGTCAACAAGAAGAATTATCATCTTTCACCTGTATGTATGTCTCACCATGAGGATGGTTAGCACGACATGTCGTTCGTTGGATCTGAATAGAAAAGCCCTAAAGTAGTATTGAGACGGTAAAGCGTAGCATCAAGTGGGATAGGATCGTATTTTGGATTGGTACCCTTTGCCAACCAATCCTTTCTTCCCCCAGAAGTTCATTATTTCGCGTCACTCACGCTTTGGAAGGTGAGGCCTATACCGTGAATTGTGGTGGTTGGCTAAGACAAAAGTTTTGATTCTTGCATCACCCGCCACCTCAAATAATTTTATAGGGACCATTCAAACGTTATTACAATTTTCATTTGACAAGAAGGGTAAGTGGTGTGATTATAAGGAGATGAACTTGGTTCACTTCCCGCTATTAGATTACGGTTGCTACCCAGCAAAGTTTGCGATTCAGTGTAAGATCACGATTTCTTCCTGCTTCGATATCATCCTTGGCAAAACTTATCCGACCGCTAATAATGTTGGATTCACATTTAAAGACACAGTTCACGATAAAAATAGTTTCAGAGATTCCTCCACAAGATGAATTTGAGGCCCCGCGCATACCATATCTGGCCCTATTAGGTCGGAAAACGGCCTAGTTAGGAAGTTATAAAGGCTCAAAATTGGCCCGTGTGTACCCTCGGACGAGTTTCACCGGCATTGTAGAGACTGCACCGATCACAAGGGGACCCATGTAAGAAGTTCCAACAATCAGTCATGTCCTATAGCGACAGTGAAAGGCAGTTCTGTACAGTTCTGGCTTGACTTAGTCAGCACTTTGTGTAATTGCCATTACTGAAATCTCGTCCGAATACCTCCTCCACGTCAATTCCGTCATGGCAATCTCGTCCAACCTCTATTTTCCCTATTTTTGAAGAGCCATATTTCTCTCGAAATCGGCAAATTCTCTCGCATTCTTCACTACCCATGAACTATTTCCAATCTATACTTCCGCTTTTCGAATAAAAACGGGTATCCCAAAATTATCCTAAACTGTGCCTTCAATTATGTATCCGTAGAGAAAAGGAGCTACATCTTTGAAAATATTTAATAGTCTATGTTCTCTCCCAGCGAAACAGCGAAATAACTCACGAAAAAAGGGGAAAGAATTTCATTTATTCGATGTTTTTCGGGCGAAGCACCTTTGCCCCAGGAGGGAGGAGAGCCCGGCGTCAGCTGGGCGATCCGACTGGTATAATAAATATTTAGGTATACAACTTACAAGGCATCCATTTTCATCAACGATCTTTTCCACCTCGGTCTCTCCTGAATAAAGATGGTCTTCGACTTGAATGAATTTACATGAAGAACAGCCTGAAAGGTTTACAACTCATTGTCATTCGATTAAGTTGAGCTCACTGCTATCACACTAAAGGGATTGCTGCTATAGTTATAAGGGAACATAGGAGGAGGGTCACTAATAAATGAGCAGTCGAGGGACCTTTTTTGGTTCAGCCCTTTTTAGGTTACTACAATTTTGTTGCCCTGAAGCTCATCAAGTTGTTCAATCGTGTTTGGCTAGGCAGAAACTCTATTTTCAGATGTAATTCTCAAGTAAAGTGTAGTCCGCCTAGGGTTGTATCTTCTAAGCCGGTTCCGGATCCTCATTGCGCTCTATCTGAACTGTCATTTAATCGACAACCTTTTTTGGGCTATCCTTCGGAGTCACAGGTTCATGTCAGGGAGAAATTTCAGGAGCTATTTCGTCACGTGCCTTTGACAGGGGGTTACTGAGTAAGGCCTCTCTCATAACAAACCTTAGTCCACACATCCAGACATTCAGATTCATGATGTAGTAGAATATACTTCCTCAACTGCTATCAGAGGCTGTGTCGTTAAAGTATGGCTTTCGTTGGGTTCACCGCTTTAGGTTTCAAGCTTCAACACATCCGAAGATGTCATATGGATCTCATTGCTGGAGCTCAGGCACCGAGAACTGCTGCTGTTTCAAGGCCAGTTTCCTTAACCATTACCAAAGGACAGACAAAAGTGCTCAACTAGGGAACTTGCTCCTCTAAACTTCTGTATTCACTGATTGTGAAGAAAAATGAGCATGAAAAAGTTTACCATTGTTAGATAGAGCACTGACGATACTGAATAGAGAAAAAAATGTCAGAAGAGGTAGACTCATCGGGTGTGTGCCAGGTGGATCGTAGGAAGCCGGAGTGGCACCGATCGGGGCGGCAGGGTTCAAACACAATCTGAATCTGCGCCTGATCCAACAGAACCTACATCTCGTTGCATAGTTCACATTCCATTTTGATTCAGGCGATCTTTGGGTTTGGTTCTGCTTGAATACATTCTTTATAGGTCACCGAATCCCAAGGATAAGCAGCAAATGCCCAATGTTTAACAAAGATGAGCAGTGACTAATTAGCTCTGTCAAGCTATACAGGAGGAATGTGGCACAGCTTCAGCTGCACACTATCGTACACACTAATCAAGGATCAAATCCCGGATCGATACTCGCCCAAATCGGAAAACCCTTCCACTTCTCCAAAGTTATGTAATTGGTACCAGGCCTCTTATAGGAAGATTAAAGCAACGACTTGCGCATTGGCTTCCCATCGTAAGTCATTGCATAAGTTGCATTCGCATTTGAGCCGGTACAACAAGCACTCGAGCCATTAAAGTCGGTGTTCTATGCGTGCTCTCGGAGAAGGTCCGTTACGCGCGTCCGTTAAAAGTAAGTTATCCCACCCACTTCTCGCACGGCGCAGCTCACTGAGATCTCGAGGTGATATTACACTACCACCAATTGTTAGTGGACCGAATGATTTGCATTTTTCATGCTATTTTCTGTTTGAGCTGAATGCCGTGGACCATGCGCAAATCGTATGCTCTCCTGACGACTGCGACGTCTGTCAAGTATCGCGGACTGACACGCCGCATGCGACGGCTGTGGCGTTGCCTAGTTTCGACGAACGCGTGCAGCGAAGCGCACTCGTTTGCTCTCTTGGCAGCTTTTCAGAAAGTTTCAATCGAAGTCAGTCCGTGCGCAGGTCTGGAGGGCGTATTTGTTAAAGTAGGCCCTAGGCCGAAAGAGTGGAATCAAGGATTGGGCTAAGCTTCCTTCCTTTACCAAACAAAGCCTTTATTCACGAGGAACACGGAACGAGGAGAGGCACCTTAGGCACTGAATTATATTCTATTCAAACTGAAGAGTTCTGCCCATTCACGGTCATCTAGCGTATTCTCAAGTACGAAGAGATCGAACACGGCAAAAGTATAGAGCAGTTAAAGAGGCAGTTGAATCAAGCTGGAGCGGAAAAGAAGTCCCGTCCTAACTTTTCTTCACAGCNAAGCTTCCTTCCCTTACCAAACGAAGCCTTTATTCACGAGGAACACGGAACGAGGAGAGGCACCTTAGGCACTGAATTATATTCTATTCAAACTGAAGAGTTCTGCCCATTCACGGTCATCTAGCGTATTTTCAAGTACGAAGAGATCGAACACGGCAAAAGTATTCAGTTAAAGAGGCAGTTGAATCAAGCTGGAGCGGAAAAGAAGTCCCGTCCTAACTTTTCTTCACAGCGGTTAAAACTGTACGTTCAAAGCATACGATGATACTTCCTAACGATTTATTACATAGGCTACAAAGCAACTCGTCTTCCTCTTCGAAATCGCTTCAAGTAGAAGTGCACGAGAGGCTTTCTACGACGATACTGTGACCATTTCTTTCAAAGCGCCAGTGACCTTCGTTGGTGCATTCGATGTCAATTTTTTGATCGCCTCGTTTCGTAAAGCCACCGATGCGGTGGTTGAACTGAAATCAATCACTGAAGTGTGAGATTGGATGGCTAATTATCAACAAGAAGTGTCACTTCTTACCTGTATGAATGTCTCTGAATCGGGCCTGTTAGCACGACATGTCGTTCGTTGGATCTGAATAAAAAAATCCTGAAGTAGAACGAAGATGGTGAAGATAGGGAAGCGTCAAATGCGACACTATAACGCCTTGGGTCCTAAGATTGCATCCCGGATTGATCTCCCTAGCCAACGGGGCTTATTAGGAAGCTTCTCGGCCTGAACTCGATAATTTCAATAAAAATGTGGGATTTCCAAGGTTGCATAGCAAGTATGTCTTCTATCTAGAGTAATTCAGATCTAGCGTGAACAATGATCACAGGCTTGGCGATTAGGCGGTTCTAGAATCTGTTTGTACAGCCTATTTCTGGTATTCATCGCATCCCTTTTTCGAAAAAGGATAACCATGGGTTAGGCAGCCATGTATGTAACAGATTACATGAGATCAGTGGCTTTGAGTCAGGTCGATCTCAGCCATGCTACTGTTGCAGTCGTAGTCGCCTAGGGACTCAAACGCTTTACCCTTCTGAATCTTATCCCAGACCTTCGGTTTGTCTCTCTGTTCATAAGTGGAGGAATCAGTTCCAAAGTTCAAAGCATCTAACCTTTTTGTACTCACATATGTTGTGAAAGGATATGAACGATAAAAGGTTCGAGAATTCGGGAATTCGGTGATTCCCTATCCACATGTACAGCAAACTCATTCACTAGGGCCATAGGTACAGCTTAATAGTGTTTTGAGCTATTCCGCGATTTTTTTTTCAAGAAAACCAACAGCGAATGCGCCTTCGATGAAGTCTTTAGGTGTTCAGGACAAATATAATTGGAACTTCGTGCTCTATCAAATCGCTGAGTAGGGGAAGTGGTGCAGTGGCAGGTGGCGAACTCACGGGTTCGATTCTCGGATCGTTATCTGCCTAGGGGAAGCAAGCCTTCCATCTTCCGGGGCCGGTCAATCGGTACCAGATTCGTTTGGGACGGTGGAAGCATTAACTTAAACATCGTGGCCACCAGAAGCCATTGTATAGGCCTTATACGCATTCAATATGCCGCTGCGGGTGGCATATTGAATGGGTATAAGGCCTATACAATGGTGGAGGTCGAATGTGGAGGCGCATTCCACATCCCTCGGACGGTATTGGTTTACGTTGAAAGGCTTTACTTTTTATTCCTCACTATTCTTGTCGCCCGGCTTACGCCGGGCCTCATTCCTTACTTTTACAAAGTAATTTAAAAAATGTGGTTAACGGGTATCGCTCTTATTCAACACTGAGGGTTCGAGTGCGGAGAAGGATGGGTAGCTAGCCTTAAATTCTTCATAAGCCTCAGTAGGGGAGCAGCGCCGGTGTGGGGGTAAGATGATTAACTCGAGTCAAAGGCTAGGATGAGGTGTAAGTTGAATATTCTATTTACTCACCCACCCCGGTGCTCCTTCCTTCCTGAACCTCAGGCCAAATACTGTATGTTCTCGGCTAAGAAACGATCTCCAGCACATTTATGGGCTAACGCCCTTATCTGCGCTGACGCGCTCAATCTTGAAAAAAGCGGAGGTCTCCGAAACATAACCCCTGATTTCTGCATGGACGTACACAGCACGATGCCAGTACAGATCAAAATTACAGCTTTGAAGTACCACTTCACTCCGCAGTACTACTGACTCTACTCCATTAATCTATCCACCAAGTTCACCTGTATCGCCTGTCGTCCCGTTGATCGTCGATTTCCTGGCGACAGTAACGTCTCCATTCGTCCTGTCACGAGCCAGAGTGGTCCAATGAATCGTCCTTGCTTCAGGGACATGAGGATCAACATTCCTTTCGTTTAGAGCTTTTGTGAAGAAGTCTGACCATCTCGTTGGCGGCCGTCCTGGAGTTCGTTTGATGTCCCGAGGGATCCAGTCAGTAACCTTCCCAGTGCAACGGTCATCACTATATCACATAACGTGTCCGGCCCACCTATTCTTCGATTTTTGGGCGTAATTAACGGCATCCCTGATCTTCGTTCGATGACGGAGCTCGGAACTGTGGATTCCCTTCTGCACTTGCGTGTATAGGGAAAGTCCGAGCATCGTCCCTTCCAAAGCGCGTTGAGTAACGCTGACAACATGCTCATTCTGCCTTCGTCGAGTCCAAGTTTCCGAGGCGTATGTACGTCAAAGCAGGAAGGACAGCAGTGTCGAAACGGTAAGTGCGCAGACTTGGACTGTTGAGAAAGAAAAGGTGACCCACCAAGTTACTGTTTATATATAAGATTGAAATGTAGGACAGAGCCGGGTTTTCCATATCACTACCTAATCGTAAACATAAATTTACCAGAAGGACAGAAGACACACCAAGTCACTGCTTCATAATTAAAAGACATACATATTGTCATGTAAACAACTTACAAGGCATCCATTTTCGCCCGTGATCTTTTCCACCTCGGTCTTGCCTGAATGAGGTAGTTCTTCGATTGTGGCTAATTCACATGAAGAACAACCTGAAAGACTTACAATTGGTGTCATTTGAATAAGTTTAGTTCATTGATATTTTGAGGATCGGTGCAGCAGCCTGTCCCTCCGGGGTCGGTTAATTGGTATCGAACTGGTCTAGGAGGATAAAAGCACGGACTTGTACATGGCTAGCCTTAGCAGGTAAGGTGTATGGCCCATACACATTCAATACGCCACTACGATTCGAATGGAAGTCAAATGCAGGAGCGAATCTTACAGACGGGACTGATGAACCAGATACTTTATCCTTTATTTTTATCCCTTACTGTTATTTCTGCAAAGCTCATCACTGTTTAATGGTATAGGGGCGTAAGCCGGGTGACCCGACTGGTGAGGAATAAAAGATGAAGTCTTTCACATAAATAAATCTCGTTCAAGAGATGTGGAATACGCCTCCGCATTCAACTTCCACTCGAAATCGAAGCAGCATATTGAATGCGTACGTGTTTTTGGCTGGGCAAAAACCGATTTTCAGAACTGGTTGATCCTCAAGTAGGTATCGTCCGTCTATGGGTGAACCGGCCTGGCTGTTTTCAGGGTCCTCACTAGCCCTATCTGCGCCGGTTTTCGACCGATAGCTTCCCTTGGGCTATTCTCGGAGGTCACAGGTTCAAATATCTACAATATGATGTAGAACAACAGTCTTAACTCTCAATAGAAGCCAAATCGCTAAGGCTCTTGTTGAGTCAAAATCCACCGCTTCAGCTTTCGAGCTTACACTCGTCCAGAAAAATTACAATGATTCTCTTGTCCTTAATCAGGAAGGAACGGTTTTGTTTTCATGCAGTTTTGTATCTAATGAATTTTGAACAGTACAGACAGCATAAGCTTTTTTGTGAAGGAAAAGGAGTGAATTCAAACGTTTACCTCTATTGTATAGGGCACCGACCAGACTGAAAAGCGAAAAAATAGTCAGAAGAGGTAGACTCATTGGGTGTGCCAGGTGGATCGTAGGGAGCCGAAATGGCTCCGATCAGGACAAGTGGCTAGCGATCATTTTTCGGGGATGGCAGGGTTCAAACACAATCTGCGGCTGATACAACAGAACCTGAAACTCGCTGCGTAATTCACATTCCATTCGAATGCAGACGATTTCGGGCCCACTTCTGCTTGAACACATTCTTTGTAGGTCATCGAATCCTGTGGATAAGCTAAGAATGACTGAAGAAATTTTTGAAAGTTAGCAGTAACTAATTAGCTCTGTCAAATTACACAGGAAGAATGTGATAGAACTTAAGCTGCACAGCATCGTACACACTGCCCGAGGATCGAATTTTGAACAGTGTGTACGAAGTGTGTACTCGCCCAAACCGACCAAACTCTTTAGTCCTCTAAAGTCATGTAACTCGTACCAGACCTGTTCTAGGAGGATACATGCACATTGGTTTGCCACCGTAAGTCATTGCATAAGTTGCATTCACATTCAAGCAGCTACGATTCTCAGTAGAAGTCGAATGCAAACGTACATTTATCATCATCATCTCATCTACTACGCCCCAAGACAGAGGCCGATCAATAAACATAGGACATCCGCAGTTAAATATTGCTTTCTGAAGTTTGGAAAGCACGGTAGTGCATAAGAAAATGAGGTTCTTGTTGCCTATACACCACTCGGCACCATTGTCAAGACCCGAGCCAGTACAACAGGCACTCTCGAGCCATCCAAGTCAATGTTCTAATCCTGCTTTCTTGGTAGCTTTTGAAAATTTCAATTGAAGTCGGTTTGTGCGTAGCTTCGGAGTCGGCTTTACATGGAGTAGGTCCTAGGCCGAAAGAAGGGAGTTCTAAGAATAGGACCCAGCTTCTTTACCTTACCAAACAAAGTCTCGTGAAGTTTAAAACGAGGAGAAGTACCTCAGGCAATCTCAAGCTCTCACATCTTCATTTGTGATCAAATGTTATGGAGCATGTTCTATTCACACTGAAGTGTTCTGCCCATTTACGATCACCTAGCGTAGTTACAAGTACGAAGAGATCGTGCTCGGCAAAAGTAGTTGAAGGGTCACAGTTGAAAAAAAAGTGAATCAGAAAAAGAATTTGGGTCCCAACATTCTTCTCCACAGTTCATAGCACGTTCATAGCATATGAAGATACTTCCTAATGATTTATTATATAAGCTACAGAACAACTCTTCTCGTCTTCTTCTTCGAAGTCGCTTCAAGTAGATAAACACGTGAGGCTCTCGGTGACGATACTGTGATAATTGTCTCCTTTGAAGCGCCAGTGACCTTTATTGGTACATTCAATGTCGACTACTTGATCGCCTTCTTTCACGAAGCCACCGACGCCGTTATTGAACTGAAATCACTCAATGAAAAGACAGATTGAACTGCTATTTAACAACAAGTACGGATTACCTCTTACCTGTAGCTGTACGTATGTATCAGCATCGGGTCTGTTAGCACGACATGTCACTCGCTGGATCTGGAAAAAAAGAAATCCTAAAGTAGTCTAAGACGGTGGGGACAGCGTAGCCTCGAGTGGGGCACTACAACGCTCTGGGTCCCCGGATCGCATCCCGGATCGATACCCCTAGCCAACAAAGCCCCCTACCACAGGGAGTAATTGGCGTCACGCATGTCGGGAAGATAAGAGCCTATGCAGTGATTGTGGGTCAGCTAATACAAGAACTTTAACTCTTGCACTGGCTGACCGCCGCATGTAATTGTATGGGTCACATACGCATTCGAAAACCTCTACCATTTTGAGAGGAACTCGAATGCCGGAGCGCATGCTAAAGCAGTATTGGTCAGCTTCACTTTGCACGGCTTAGTCATTAGTCAGTAGTTTCAAGTCATGCTCACGATATAATAGGGTCACGAACTTCATTTCTGAACGGTACCATGCAACGCAAGTCAATTACCTAGGAAGCTGTTTGTTCGAAATCCGATTCTCCCGACAAGTAGGGCATCATTGATCCTGTACCATTAACGGCTTCGTTACCAACTTCATGGAATACATTCAACCGGGTTTCTTAGCATACACGACAAATATGGTCGGTATCGATAGGCCCACCAAGCATTCCATCCCTCCTGGGTTCTTTAATTGGTACTGGACTCGTTTGGAATGTATGCCACATACGCATTCAATTCTGAATGGAAGTCGAATGCTCAGGCGCATCCCTTATTCCCCAGTTGGGATTAATGACTGCCGAAAGACTTTATTTTTCATCCTTCATATATATACACCATCTGTTCGCCCGGTTAATGCCGGGCTTCCCTTCTTTTTATGATACAGTTGTAATAATCAGCAAACGCCAGCTCCGTTTTCGAAACAAATGTACATCGGATCACGAAACCTGACTGTCAGGGCATGCTAGTCCTGTCACCTGCCATCAGTGTTCCCATCTTGCCTCCTGTACGTTTACCAAATTTTAGCGCTCTGTGTCCAACTTGACATTTTTTAGGCAAGCCCCGCCCTCTTGGGCGAAGTCTAACCTGCCATCCACATTAAGTGTTCCCATCCTCGTCGTCCTACTCTATTTGAACTCTCTACGTCTGCTAGAACCGGAGTTATGAATTTTCGCTCAAGCATTTATTTCGCACAAACCCCGCCCATTGTGGGCGGAGTCTAGACCTGCCATCCACCATAAGTGTTCCCATCCCGCCGCCTGTGCTCCTACCGAATTTGAACACTCTAGGTCCACGGGAACAGGAGTTATGAGTTTCCGCTCAAACACACACATATACTTATATATACACACATACATACACATACGCACAGACACACACCACACACACTTACATACACATGCACACACACAGAGGCAAAGCAACAGACACACTTAGCCCGTTATATGTATGAAGTAGAATATTTATGTATAAACTTACAAGGCATCCATTTTCATCAACGATCTTTTTCACCTCGGATTTGCCTGCATTTTCGTGATTTTCGATTGGAAGTAATTTACACGTAGAACATCCTGAAAGTTTAATAACTTATTGTATCTAAATCAGTCCAGCCCACTGCTATTTCACTTGAGGATCGGCGCTATAATTATAGGGGACATAGTAGGAGAGCCGCTGATAAACGAACAATCAAAAGGGTCAGCTTCTGGCAGTAAGTGTGGCCCGTCTGGGTGTTCGGCTTGGCTGATTTCAGGATCTTCATTTGCCCTATCTAAGCCGTTTTCCTACGACAACCTCCCTTGGGCTATCCTTGGGAGTAACAGGTCACCCTAGGGAGAAATCTCAAAAACAATATCAATTGAAAACTGTACATTCCACAGGGAGCGATTGATTAAGGCCTCGCTCATAACAAACCTGAGCCCAGATAATTAGATCATGATGTAAAATACATCAATGTACATCCAGAATACTTTACAGAAGCCGAATCGCTAAGGTACGGCTCCGTATGGGTACCACTCCAGCTTTCAGGCTTCCATTTACTCGAAAAATTCTAGGATTTTCTTTTCTAGGGTTCACCCAACAAGAACTACTACTGTTTCAAGCACAACCTCCTTCAATCATTATCAGAGGGCGGACAAAAGTCTTCAACAAGGAAGGAACGAATCTTTTCTGTGTTTTTGTATTTAATGAATTCAGGACGGCCAGTGTGGGCCTATTGAAGGAAGTAATTTCAAGCAAACGTTTACCATCAGTAGTTAGGGCGTTGGCGAGACTTAAAAGACTAAGAACTGCCAGCAGAGGTAGACTCATTGAAAGGCGTCAGGTGCACCGTACTGAGCCGAAATGGCTTTCGAACGGCTGGCAAGTAATTATTAGCGATCATTCCCAGTGGGCGGCAGGGTTCAAACACAATTTGCGCCTGATCCAACAAAACCTACAAAACATGACTGTAGCATAATTCACATTCCATTCGGATGCAGGCGATCTTTGGGCTTGCTCTTGCTTGAATACATGCTGTGTAGGTTATCGAAGCTTGAGAATAGGCTGCAAATGATTGAAGAAATGTTTTACAAAGATGAGGTAACTGATTAGCTCTTTTAATTTATACAGGAAGAATGTGGTACAGTTTCAGTTGCACACCATCGTTCCCACTGTCCGAGGATTGGATTCCGGATCGGTACTCGCCCAAATCGACCTAACTTAGTGTTTTAAAGTCATGTAATTGGTACCAGGCCTCCCCTGGGAGAATTGAAGCAACGACTTGCACATTGGCTTGCCAGAGTAGATCATAAGTTGCATTCGCATTCAAACTCCAATACGATTCTCAGTAGAGGTCGAATGCGGGCGTGCATCTATTACAACTTGAGACAGAGACGGGTCAACCCACATATAACATCCGCAGCTGAATATTGCTATCCAAAGTTCCGAGAACACGGTAAAAATTGTAGTTCACGAGAAAGTAAGGTTGTAGTTGTCATACACTGCTCGGCACCTTTGTCAAGATGCTACAACAACTCTCGAGCCATCCACGTCAATGTTCTATGCCTGCCGTCTTGGCAGTTTTTCAGAAAGGCTTTCATTGGTTAAAGTAAAGAAGCTGAGCCTCATCCTTACGACCCCCTTCTTTCGGCCTAAAACCCATTTCATGTCAAATACGACTCCAGACCTTCAATTGAACCTGGTTTGCGCGCAGGTCTGCAGTCGTATTTGACATGAAATGGGTTTTAGGCCGAAAGAAGGGGGTCGTAAAGATGGGGCTAAGCTTCTTTACTTTACCCAATAAAAGCCTCGATCCCGAGGAGTATAATACGAGGAAAGGTAACTTGGGCACCCTCAAGTTCTCGGACCCTCATTAGTGAACAGATGTTATGAAGTATTTTCTATTCAAACTGAAGTGTCCTGCCCATTCACGGTCATCTAGCGTATTTGGAAGTACGAAGAGATCTAGCTCGGAAAAAGTGATGAAAGGGTCGCAGCTGAAAAAGCGTGAAGCAGAAAAAGAAGCCACGTCCTGGCATTCTTCTTCATAGCGATTAATGTTGTATGTACGTCCATAGCATGTGAAGATACTTTCTAATGATTTATTACATAGGCTACAGAGCAATTCGTCTTCCTCTCCAAGGTCGTTTCAAGTAGATAAACACGTGAGGCTTTCGACGACGATAGTATCAGAGTTGCCTCCATCAAAGCTCCATTTGCCTTCGTTGGTACATTTGATGTCGACTACTTGATCACCACGTTTCACGAAGCCACCGACGTCTTTGTTGAACTGAAATCAATCACTGAAGGGACAGATTCAATTGCTATTTGCTAACAAATACGAAGTATCATCTCTTACCTGTACGTATGTATCAGCATCGGGTCTGTTAGCACGACATGTCATTCGTTGGATCTTAAAAAAAAGAAATCTTAAGGTAGTACTAAGACGGTGAAGATAGCGTAGCTCCAAGTGGGATGAGGGACGTCAATTACTTCTTCGCAAACGCGGCTCTGGGCAGAATCCTACCTTTGTCTTTATAAATAGTTAGCCTGGATGAATGAAAAGCATTCTCGAATAGCTAATAATTATTTATTTGTTTACTTCTCTATACGGAAATTCCAAACTTGTAAATATATTGATAATTTCTAACACTGCTATTCGAGACCATTCCAATGGTTCTGTTGAGTCCACTCTTTCTTAGTCAGTAGTTCCAAGTCATGCTCGCGACCTAACAGGGTCACGAACTCTCTTTCTGAACGGGCACCATTCATGGCATCTGATTCTCCCGATAAGTAGAGCATCACTGATCCTATACCATTGCCGGTTTAAACTGAGTGCTGATAAGCTATGGCATATAAGCCATTAAGAAGGCGAGGGCAAGCGGGGTCTCGGTAGTGTAAGGAATAAGAGCGAGGTCCCCGGAAAGGGCAAGTGGTGNATTCGAGTTCCGTCGGAGACTGGAATTTTGCCCACAAGTTGCCAACCTTGTGAGATTGACGGTTTAGTTACCCACTTCATGAAATACATTCAACCGGGTTTCTCAGAGTTTACTGCAAATGTGGCCGTTATCCAAGTAGACCAACCAAGCCTTCCATCCCTACGTGTTCGTTTAATTAGTACCAGACTCATCTGGGAGGATAAAAGCACTGACATGTACATCGGGTGGTCACTGCAGTTCGGGCCACGTACGCATTCATTACACCACTACTACTCGGAGTGGGAGTCGAGTGCTGGTGCATCCCTCATTCTTCAAGTTTGATTAATGCCGAAAGGCTATCTTTTATCCTTTATATACATATGTTTATGTACACAACTTACTAAACATAAGGGCCTCGCCTTCTCAATGGCATACAAGCGGAGTCACAGTAGTGTAATGGATAAGTGTATGGTGCCCGGACAGCACAAGTGAGGGTTCGAGTCATGCATGAGACCGTAGTTTTATCTAACTAGCCAACCAACCAAGCCAGTAAAAACAACTTACTAGGCATCCGTTGTTCTCAACAACCTTTTTCACATCGGACTTGCCTGCATTTGCATGCCCTTCGACTGGAACCAATTCGCATGTAGCACAACCTGAAAACATTATAACTTATTGTCATTTGAATCAGTTCAGCTCACTGCTATTTCACTTGAGGATTGCTGCTATGATTGTAAGTGAACACAGGAGGAAGGCCGCTGTTAAACGAGCAGTCAAGGGATTAACTTATGGTTTAGCCCCGTTTAGTTCAATGAAAGTTTGTTATCCGAAATTCATCGAATTGTTCTATCGTATTTGGCTAGGCACAAACATTCGTTCAAAGGTAATCCTCTAGTGGGGTATGGCTATGTCGGCAAAGCCGGTTACATGATCCTCTTTTGCCCTATCTAACCCGTTTTCCGGACGACAACCTCCCTTGGGCTGTTGATGTAGAGTAGTACATCCGTGGCGATGAAAGGAATAAATCCGCCTACTCGAGGCTTTTTCAGAATTGTGGAAGTGAAGGTTGAGCGAGATCACCGTGAGGTGAATGGTGTATGAGGGGTGTTTGAACGAGACCTGATCGCTCATTGCGCAAAGAAATGATCAAATCAAGCCAAGATTGTCTAGAACTACCTTCCACTGTCGCCTTCAGTTATGAAGAGTTGTTTGAACTTCCTACATGGGAGTCTCTTGAGACAGTGCAGCCTCTTTAAGGCCTTTGGAACTCGTCCACTATGGGTTTGGCATTCACACAATACAATCTCTGGCCCCTTATTGTGCCCTATCCAGGTTTTTCG